CCTCTCTCTCCTCTCCTCTCCTCTCCCTCCTCTCCTTTCTTCACTCTCCTCTCTCCTCTCCTCTTTCTTCCCTCCTCTCTCCTCTCTCCTCTCTCCTCTCCTCTCTGTCTGCCCTCCTCTCTCCTGTCTCCTCTCTGCTCTCCTCTCTTCTCTCTCCTCTCGGAATCTCTGCTCTTCTCCCTCTCCTATCTCTTTTCTCCTCTCTCCTTTCTCCTCTCTCCTTTCTCCTCTCCTCTGTCTTTTCTCTCCTCGCGAGGACCAGGAGCAACTCCAAGCGTGACGACTGTTCTGCGTTTCGCGACCAGAACCCCCCCGGATCCCTGTGACTGTTAGCGCTTTTGAAATGCGGCGACCAAACGCAGGTCCATGTCCAAAAGTGACAACTGTTCTGCGCTTCGCGACCAGGACCCGCCCATCCCTGCGACTGTTGACACTTTTGAGATGCGACGCCCAAACCCAAGTCCATGTCCAAAAGTGACCTCTGTTCTGCGTTTCGCGACCACGACCCCCCGCATCCCTGTGACTGTAAGTTAGCATTTAAGATGCGACGACCAAACGCAAGTCCAAACGTGACGACTGTTCTACGTTTCACGACCCGGACCCCCGGATCCCTGGTGAATGCTAGCACCTTTGAGATGCGACGACCAAACGCAAGTCCAAACGTGACGACTGTTCTGCATTTTGCGATCACGACCCGGCAATCCCTCTGACTGTTGGCATTTTTGAGATGCGACGACCAAACGCAGGTCCATGTCCAAAAGTGACAACCGTTCTGCGTTTCGCAACCAGGAACCCCTCAATCTTTGTCAATGTGGACACTTTTGAGATGCGACCACCAAACGCAGGTCCAAACGTCACGACTGTCATGCGTTTCGCGACCAGGACCCCCCCCGATTTTTGTGAATGTTGGCACTGTTGAGATGCGATGGCCAAATGCACGTCCAAAAGCGACAACTGTTCTGCGTTTCGCAACCAGGACCCCCTCGATCTTTGTCATGTTGACACTTTTGAGATGCGACGCCCAAACCCAAGTCCATGTCCAAAAGTGACCTCTGTTCTGCGTTTCGCGACCAGGACCCCCTCGATCTTTGTCATGTTGACACTTTTGAGATGCGACGACCAAACGCAAGTCCAAAAGTGACAACTGTTCCGCGTTTCGCAACCAGGAACCCTCCACTCTTTGTGAATGTTGACACTTCGAGATGCAACGACCAATCGCAAGTCCATGTCCAAAAGTGACAACTGTTCTGCGTTTCTCGACCAGGACCCCGCCGATCCCTGCGAGTGTTGACACTTTTGAGATGCAACGACCAAACGCTAGTCCAAGTCCAACAGTCACAACTGTTCAGCATTTCGCGACCGGGACACCCCCGATCCTTGCGAGCGTAGGCACTCTTGTAACGCAAAGTCCAAAAAGTGACGACAGTTCTGCGTTTCGCGGGAATTTTCGACTGTCAAGAATGCGCTAAACGCAACGACTTTACCTCCTGGGCTCTGGACCCCAACCTTAAAATGGGAACCCTTCTGCGGAGCAGTCGGGAAAATGTGATCTTCAAAAGCCATCTAGCTGCTAGCTTATCCCCGAGGCCGGAGGCTGTTTAGATCCAGGTTCAGAGACTGGGGAGTTAGTTAGCCCTCCCCCTACCCCATCCCCCGACCCCATCCCAACGGTCGCAGTTTCTGCGAGGAATTTTGGGTTTTCATGTTTTTGATGGGTTCGGCTGGTTGGCCGGGTCTCGCATGGGCCGGTGCAAGTCCTGGCCATGCACCCCTCCCACAAAATCTGGGTTGCTGTTAAGGCACTTAATTTAAGTTACTATATTGGGGAAACCCTATTATTTACTATATATACCCATTATGGTAACTTAATTTAAGTTCCTTAACAGCAACCCAGAAAATCGGAGGTTGGGGCAGGTTGGGTTGGGCGGGCTCTGCGAGGCTGCTCTCCTCTACCCTTGCCAAGGCGGTCTTGCGTTCGAAAATGATAGTCCCCCTGTAAGTAGATAGAATATGGCTTTGGGTATCTTATATTAGGATCCCCATATACCCCATATTCTATCTACTTAAGGGGGACTATACATTAAGGGCAAATTAACGGTCATCAATACGTGTGTAGTTCCCTCGCATGTGGCAAGCTTGGCTAAGAACATGGCCATAAACGTACAGAAAACCGTTTGAAAATGCTGGGATTATGGTCCCATTCATCCACGGCACACTCACGGTTGCTGCTACTCAACGGTGACTGGTCAAGGCCCCATGCGGTGTGCACTATGAACGACGATGATTGCACGAATGGAGGCGACTGATTGATACATGCCATCACGCATTGTCTGCTCTAAGGATATGCAGAAAGAGCTGCAGAATGTGCAAAAAACGCTCATTTTGAACTGGACCTTTCAAACACATTGCCCTTTTTTAGAACTGAGTCCGAGTTGCACACATTTGCGCCCAACTTGCACGAAACTGTGCCCGAGTTCCGGATTTGATGTCTGTCCGTTTTCTGTTCTGCTCCGCAACACTTTGCCGCATTCAAAACAATCCGAACCAACAAAAAGAGCCATGTTGCGTGCCAACTGGTCCTCTAGAAAGATACCCACATCCGCCAGATCCGGCAATGTGGGGGCTGCTCTAGATGACGATGATGATGGTGATGATGATGATGATGGCGTGGTGTTCTTACGCGGAGATCCTGCCGAACAATCAGGCATTGTTTCTTAGGCAGATCAGCCATCTATTCCCATTTGCATGGAAACCTGGGAGGCACAGGGCACGCGCCAATATGCGAAGTACAGCAGCACGAACGGCGGTAGCGAAAAGGACTGATCATTCTCCTGGACTAAAGGTAAGCCGGAAGCATGAGGTCATGAGCATCCGAAAACGAAAAGTTGGCTCAAGACGCCTCGCTGCCTCCGTGCAGAGGCAGCCAAGTCTGATTGCTGACCTTACAAGGGACTTCAGCGTGTATGCTTGCAGGCCAACATGACGATTTCCAGTCAAAAATCCCATTTAAGGATCCACACAACATGTACACCTCTGCCAATGTGACACAGAAGGCTGCAAAAAGACACTCTAAAAAAAACTTACGTT